CCTGATAAGAGGCAATATAATGAACAGTATATTATAATGAACCACATCTCAAAAGATCTGGGTTCTGACCAAATTATGGCATCTGTTAACTTCCACTTCAGTAAAATACACACACTTTGAGTCTTTTTTTTCATATCTACTGTGGTTTTGTAAGGATCATCTTGTATAGGAGGTACATGTTGAATATAAAATAATATTCAACAATAGATACTTATGATGATGCTAACAATGACAATGACAACTCAAAAGCCTATCTAGGATTAATGCTAATCTCGTATGCAGTCCACTTTAGTCCAGGGACTGGGAAAATAGTAGTGAGTAAACAGGTCATTTGATTTTCTCAAAGTAAATGTAGAAACCCAGGTTATAATAAAAACACTTGTGTTTATACTGGGAACATATGTGCTCCGAGACTTATTTGCACAAACAGTTATAAGTACAAAAGTTATATGAAGTCCTGTCCAATGATATTTCTTAATTATTTTTGATAATTTTGTAAAGTGTTTAAAAAAAGAGTTGCAAAATGGTAGAAGTTACAGATGTTTGCAATTTTGTGATGGGCATGTTCCAAAAGGTACAACATATACTCTGAATTTTATGCAGACAAAAATCACAAAAGAATTCATTAAAAATAAACAAAATCAAATAAAGTTAGTAATTTAATCAAGTTTTGTGGTTTACTTTCCTACATTTGACTCAAATATGTTAAAAGATAATCCACCTTGAGAGGATTGTCTAGATTTGACTTGTATTCTATAATGAATGAAGAGAGGTAAGGGCATTGTATACACAGACATAAACAAAAATTCCATTTATACATAATTACATATGCTGTATATACATATCTCCAAATAGATGGATTTATTTAGGTGAAATATAGGTTTTTCAAAAATGTCTTTTTTTCTTTCCCATAACGAAATACAGTAGAAAAAAAGGATCACTTTACAAGAATGTATTATTGTCACCATCTTTCATCATATGTGCAGAGAAATAAGAAGTTAATACTGTATAGCAGTAATCCCAGGCTCTGGTAAACAGTACCATTTGGGTTCCCACAGCATATGTAGCAATACATGGTGAGATTGCTTCTATTCAATCGAACAAGCTGAGGAACCAGCAGTAAGATCAATGACAGACATTGAAGTCTTTACTCTAATAGACACAACCACACATAGAATCATTTCCCAAGGACACATAAACTTGTCATTGGAGAGACATAGATGTACTAATAGTCAACTACTTTGCAAAACAGGGAGAAAGAACTATTGGCTGAAAAACTAGTAACCTTACCACAGCAGTCCAATGGCAAATATAATTCCTACTGCAAACACCAAGAAAGGAAACTCACCTTCTAATAAGAAGAAGATTTTGCAGGGGTAAAATCTGATAAGATAGAGTCACATATTTAACTTGAACTCTGATGTTAATAATATTTTAATAACCATGGTCAATGTTTACATTAGAGAACAACAGGAAAATTATTCAAGCCTTTTCTACATTTAAGAATGTATTGCCAGGGATATAGCTCAGTGGCACAGTGCCTGCCTGGCAAGTGCAAGGTCTTGAGTTTGATCTTAGGTACCAAAAAAAAAGTATCTACAGCTAAATTTATATAAGTGGTCCTTAGGATTGAAGGGCATAAGCCTGGCTGCAAAGATTCTGAAAATTCTAAACTGTTTCTTGGATACAAAAGCATTTACTGAAATCATTTTCTCCCACAATTTCTACCTCCCCCAATATTTTCCTATCATACATAAGGTATTTACAGATCAGTTAAAATTCTCCAAACTGAGAATTTAAAACAATTTTAAACTGACTTAAAATGAACAGTTTGAGAGTGATATTTTGAATCTTCATCAAAACCTTGTTATTTCTGACCATTATTAAGAAAATAAAGTAAAATATGCATCAATATTCTTTCAATAGAGAATTCACCACTTAATGATATAAGAGAATTTGTCCAAAGCACATGAAACCACCTATAGGACAGCTGCACACCCAAAGAAAACAAACAAAAATTCTACAGAAAAAATAAAAAAGAAGCATTTTCTCACAGTAAAGCCAAATGTGTTTCCATGAGAAAAAACAGTAATTTGTTGAAGGTTTTATTGATTGAGAAAAAAATGAATTAAGGAAAGAAAATATGTATGAAAGGAAAAAAATCAAGGCAACAGAAGGTAATTTGTCCCAGTATGTCTAATTTGCAGACTCTCCGGACCAGCAGAACTTAAATTTTTACTATGTCTTTTCTTATTCATCTTCCAAATTGCTCAAGTTCCAAATTGAAGTCCAGTAGAAATGACACTGAGGATGGCGCTGGCCAATTATGTCTGCTTGGGACAGGGCCAGCCTTTCTTCCTCTGCTTCATTCACCAGTCAGAGACCAGATGTTGAAGATAAGCTCCACAAGGCAGCTCCTGGCACAAGAACCACCTTTTCCTCTCCACCCTACTCAGGTGAGGATATCTCAAAGAACACTCATTGAGGTTTGCAGCTAACGTATTTTCCATTAGCAACAAGAATCGCCTCTATGCCAAGAACTGGATATTAGCTCCTATTCCCACCCTCTGTAGAAGAATTCAGCTTTCCAAACAGCCTATTTCTGAAGATCATGAACCCCAGCAAAATTCTTTTGTTTTTTTGCAAATAACATTGCATATTCTCTTAGCTTCATCACTGCTAAGTGATTATGCCATTATTCATGTGAAAGCTTGAATTAGAAAGTGAAAAAATTATAGTTTAGATACTATCTTACAAGTGCAGAATATTTAGAAGTGAATCAAAAGTACATTTTAAATTTATTTTGTGTTTTTAAAATGATCTCAATTTTTCTGTTCTAATTTTGTTACTGTCAAGAGACTATGTAAGTGCTTATAATGTAGTTTTATGAAATGATAATCCTTAAGATAATATTTTGTCAGCATAGATTATTTAAATGTGACGTGTATAAATTGTTTACATTTTATCCTACTTACTTGGTTACATTTATGTAACACTGTTCAAGATTTAGCATGAGTACTTTTAAAAAACCAATTTAATCATGTAACATTCTTCTGAGATAGTTATTATTAGTGTCTTTTATTTAACATGGGGAAACAACCCATAGGATGGGTAAGTAACTAATGCAAGGACACATAGCACTCCAGTGGCAGAGTGAAGATTTAAACACAGTCAGCCTGGGTCTTGAGGCTCCCCTGCTAAACACTATACTGTACTGTACTGTGCTGTTTGAATGAAAAGGAGCAGCATACAGCAACTGAACCTGGTACCAACAACTACTACAGTGAGTGTCATTGTCATTAAAATTTTTATATGGTTCCAGTCTGTAATCTTTCTCACCCTTGTAACTTCCCATGAGGCTCCAGTGTTTGTCTCATCATTCACACACTTGACAAGGAAGTTTTCTAACATTACTTGTTTATTATCTGAAAAGTAATGAGAAATGTTCCTTCCAATATTCATGGGTTTATTTATATGGTGTACTTCTCCTTGGAGGTAACGTCCTTTTCTTACACTCTTTAGAAGTTTAACAAATAGTTTACTTTCTAATGAAACCTTTCCTTGGTGCTTTCTGGCTTTCCAAAAATGAACTGAATACTGCAGTTTCTGAGAAAAAGAGAAGCTATTCCAAATGAAAAAGGATATGTAACAAATGATAAAAACTTGGCCTTTCCCCACCATAACATGCCAAGGTTATGACTGATAAATTACCAAATGCTTTCATCTCTCATAGGTTTTTTCATCTCTCTGCCAACCCAGAGCTAAGAAGAAGGCCAGGCTTCTATATAAAGAAACTGTCCAGTATTCACATTTGTGAGTGATCCTCAAATAGCATCTGAGTCATGGTTGACAAGAGAAGGGGCCCCAAATTTCCCCTTGATACCGATGCTCCCACTTATCTATGATTTATAATAAATGACTTGTTAGTCTATAAATCCACATGGCTTTGGCAACTATTATATAATTCTGTCAGCACTTAAAGTTAGTCTTAGAGGTGACCAGGAAGATCCCAGCCTGGAGGTCAGAGATTGTGCTCCTGGGGAGAATTTGAAAGTGAATAGAAAAGAAGGTTTTCTCATCTGCTGTTCAAGTATCCTTTGGGAACAGAAGCTGAATCAATCATTTGGTGTCTCTTGGAAATGTAGTTAAATCAGCGTTTATTCCCAGAAAAACAAAAGATACAATAAGATAGACCACATAAAGCCATATAACATGATGAAAATTTAAAATGGTGTCATAATAACAGTATAAAACAAAAAAAAATTACATATACTGACTTTGGTTTTAAAGCAAGATCAATTAAATCAAACAGAAGTAAAAAAAAAAAAAGAGAGTTTCACTGCTATAATGTCACCATTCTTGACAATAAAATAACCACATTTAGTTAAGAAACAGAAAAGAAAAATAAATGATGGGTTGCAAAGACATTTTTCAGTGAGACAATTAGGAAATTGGAAGATAAAACTGATTTTTCTTCTTTTTGTCCTATTTATTAAGTAGAAAAATGTCTAAAATGATAAAGGGGGAAAAAGCTGAAAGACACAAGAAACCAACCTTTCAAATCTCTAACGAAGGCAACCCTTTAGATAGATAAATAAATATCCAAAGGGGAAGAATGGAAGTAGCTTTAAAAATGAAATTTGTAACTTTTTGCTAGTAAATACACCACAGATGTTCAAGCAGAAATCTCACAGATTAGTGTGCAGGTAATCTTACAGAATTATAAGAAAAAATTATACATATACACACACAAAATTAGAAGCAATTATAATACAGAAGAAAAAGCATGTTTGGAGATACAAGAATCTTCAGTAAAATCAACCTCTGCCACTTACTAACTACATAACATTTGCAAGTGCAAGGTGCTGAGTTCAATCCCCAGTACCAAAAAAACATTAAAATAAAAAAATTTTAAATTCCTTAATTCATAAGATAATTTCAAATTCTTCACTGAAGACTGGTGCATAACAATGGTATGGACAAATTTTATAATGGTTTCTAGAAAAGGCCCCCTTTTAATTGAATTCCTAATTACATTTATAAAAGATCAATGTCTTAAGTGAATAATAGTGTTTTAACCAAGTATTGTCCCCAAGACTTTTGACCTACTGATACAATTCTAGCATTTATGACATCCGTGTGGAGCATTCAAAAGCATTCCAATGGAACCTCTCAGGTCATCCATCAGTTACTTTGAAAACAGGCAGAGCTCTGCCTTGTGACATCTGGCCAATCTCCGGACCACTTTGATCTTATAATCAGGAACCCATCTACCACAGCAGCCACAGCCTCCATCACAGCTAGGTATGCTGAAAAAATTTCTAAATTTTCTATCTCTCTGAGTATGTTGCTAATTTTATACTTTCTTATGTTGGGCTGATGGAGAGAAGGTAAAGGATGGGCAGTAGAAGTAAATTACATCTTTTCTAGTTAATACAAACCTTCTAGAAAGGTAATTTTACTCCTTTCCATATAAGATAGAATCATTGTAGTAAAGTGGGAAGAGCAGTGGACTTGGAATCAGGAGTGAGATGAAGCAGCAATCATTTATTAAGTGTGTGATGTGCCAGGCATAAATATTCTCAGGTTGAAATAGTATGCATTAAATCTGATACATAATACATCTGTGTATATATGCATGTGGCAGGCTGTGTGTATAATTTAATGTAATACAGATATGATTCCAATCAGAGCTCAACTTCACTGCTTAGTGACCATGAGGACTGGGGCAAATTATTTCATTATTTTAACCTTCAATTTCTCCTGTTAAATAAATTATAAAATATTATGTCTACCTTACAAAATTGTTCTAAGAATTGAATTGGATGAAGTATTTTTAAAAGTTTGACATACTGCATGGAACACAATAGGAACTCAATGTCTATTAGGAACTCATAACGTCTATTAGGCATTTAATATGTGCCATTTAATATATGCTACACATTGTTTTAAGTGCTTCATAAATGTGAACTTTTTAAATCCTCATAACAATCTTTAGTTCACTTACTATTATTTTCCGTCCTTTATGGATAAACTGAGAGCCAGAGAGGTTAAATATCTTGTGTGAAGTCACAATAAAGACAGAACTAAAATTAAAAGCCAAGCAATCTCATCCCAGATTCTCTGCACCTAACCATTGTGCTTTAAAGTTAATGAGTCAGAGCTTAGACCTGATGCTAAACTCTAGCAAAAAAATCTTTAGGCAATTTAAAATAAAATAATATGTATCAACTTAGATTAGCAAGATGCCTACAAAATATATTAGAGAGTTATACAGATACACTAAATAGCCAATTACACTGGAAGGAAAAAAACCAATGTACAGGAAACAACTGGTCCACTCAATGAGGATAGTTCAAGGAGGACTCACTGGAAAAAAGCTATCTACAGAAGTGTGAGCTAACCATAGGAAAACGGTGAAGTATCTCCAGTCACTAACATGGAGGCCATGTAAATCAGAAAGGACAAAGGGAGTAGATGTTTTAAAGCACAGAAAGAGCAAGCTGTGTGGAGAAAGCTTCACTGAGAAACTCAGTCAAGAGAAGCAGACCACCCAAAGTGGGACAGGAGGGAGGCAGGAAATGCGTACCCTGGCTGTACATTGCCCAGGCCCCAGATTGGCAGCCAGGGGTCAAGGAACCCCTTGATGTCACCAGGCAGAGCAGCCTGCTGGGGGAGGGAGCAAGAGGAGAGCTCTGGAAAATTTATTTTTCTAGAGCCCCCAAATACTAACACGTTAAGTACCAAAACATATTTTTCATTATCTCATTGGAGACCTTCCTAAAATTTGTCATATTTCTTGCCTTCTAAAATAAGTTACCATAGTACATAAGTATTTTTGAGGATCAGTTATAAAATAGTAGAACCCTAGCCAGGCATGGTGGTGCACGCCTGTAATCCCGGCACTCCAGAGGCTGAGGCAGCAGGATTGGCATGAGTTCGAGGCCAGCCTGGGCTACATAGTGAGTTCAGGGCCAGCCTGAACTACAAAGTGAGACTTTGTTTCAAAAAAAACCCAAACCAAACCAAACAAACAAACAAATAAAATACTAGAACCCTGGAGAGCATCAGAGATGTCTAACTGCTGGCCCTATACCAGGTTTCACAATGTGTGCTCCTGTCTTCCTCAGAAGGCAACTTCCAAACAGATTTTCAGATATTATATGAAAAAGCCTTCCTAATCAAAACTTGTGAGAGCATGACATTAAACCAAGCTATACAAATTTCCTAATTTTCTTTGCTTTTTTCACAGAAAGGCATGGACAAATTTTATTTAATTAATTTAACTCAAAAGTAAACTAGAAATGTTCTTGGAACATCGTAAAATTCCTTCTATAATAACAGATCAAAAGGGGAAAAAAGCTTTATCTTATTTTGGTGTTTAGGGAAAGGACAACCCATCACACTGTAGCCTTTACACACTACAAATTGTAACTGAAAAACGGCAGAATCTGGACCAAAATATTATATATCACACCTAATAAATGCATCATAAATCTGATACACAATGTTAGACAAATATGTTAACAACAAGCAGGATAAATGCATTAATATTAATGACTAAAACACCAAGTATAAGCTTGAAAGATCAATCATTACAGCCTTGAGGTATAAAATAATAGAAAACCAAAGCCTGGCTCACATTAAAGAAGATATTTCATACATTTGTGGCAAGCAAAATGAGAAAGTAGTGACATATTTATGCACCTTCACACACAGATACACACACACACACACACACATGCATGTATAGTCATATAATCTAGAAAAGCAGTTAAAAAAATATATATATATGATTTGAATATCAAGAAGCAGCTGTACAGGTCAGAATACAGGTCAAGCATTCCTAATCTAAAAATCTGAAACTAAAATGTTCCAAAATGTAAACTTCTAGGGCACAGGACACCACAAATGGAAAATACACCTCACTTCATATGACAAGTTGGAGTGAAAACCCAAGAGCACTAAAAATATTGTATAAAATTACCTTCAGACTATTGTATAAGGTGTATATAAAACATAGATGAATTTCATCTTCATATTTCATTTTCATATTTCACTCCAAAAATATCTCATTCCAAAAAAAAATCCAAATTCCAAAACACTTCTGTACCCAAGCATTTTGGATAAGAGATACTCAAACTGTCTTATGTTTGATCACGCTAACTTCAATGCATCCCCTGTCTGTGCATTATTTTATTTAAAATTTAGTTCCTTGTGGGTATTTGGTACATGTACAGAATCTAAATATTATATGTTGTAAACACAAACTAAATTAATAAGAATAACAAAAGTGGAGAAAGGGGGTTTAGAGGTAAGTAAGGAGGGGAAGGGGAAATAAAAAAGAATTGAGATGTATTATGTACATATACCTATTTCCTAAGATCAATGTAAAACTTCATGTATTACAAATGTGTACTAATATATTAAAAAAATTTTAAAGTAAAACACAAAAAGAAAGAAACCTGTCAGAGTGGAAAATTTTTTTAAAAAATTAGTTCCTGGCTTCAAAGAAAAAACACTGAAGAGTATAATAGAATGTCCAGCAAAATGCAATCCCTGCAATGCCATAAAAAGCACAATGTCCAAGTAGAGTAAAGTCTAGCAGTGCTATAGACCAACTGTTCCCTGGCCACACTTCTGTGTGTGACTGTAACAGCAATGGGTGTGGAAAGGACAAGCCTGGACTCAAAACTGGAAGATTCAGGTTCTACACCCACCGTGAGCACAGCCAGTGGAATGACCCAAAGCAATGTTAGCAACTTACCCTAGACCTCAGTTTCTCCATCTATGAAAATAACAAATAGGACAAGTGAAGAAATTGTGAAAAGACTGTTTTTAAGTTCCTGTGCATCTTTGAAAGTTTTTAAAAATATAGGCACTACCATCAACTGATGAATGGATAAAGACCTTTTTTTATATAATGGAGTACTACTCTGCCATAAAGAAGGATGAGCTTCAGACATTTAATGATAAATGGATGGACCTTGACACCACACTCTTAAATGAAATAAATTGGACACACATGTTTAAATACCGCATTGTTTCTCTGGTGTGAGAAACTGAGAGGGGAAACAAGGATTAAAATATATAATAGATATTGGGAAATGGGAAGAAAATGTTCAAATGGGAAGAGGAACAAGGGAGGTAAGAGGGAGAAAGGAAGGGTAAAGGACAAGGGAAAATAGAAGGAAAAATGTAAACAAAGCTTTTGTACATAGGGAGGCGAGGAAGCTTCAGAAGAAGGGGAAAATGGGAAAAAAGAGGTGGGATGTATCCTGTATGGGTGCAAATTCCCTACGATGAGTTTTATTATTAGGTATGCCTAAAATGTACCAATAAATGTTTTGCTATAAATATATATATAGATATATAGATATATATATCATTATACCATCCAATCCTTTTCCTTAAAATTCAGATAAAATTACTGGTTACAGTATTTACAATGAATTGTAATACAATGACAGTCTTAGTGTAAATCTTATTCTGCTGTAAGTAGCTACACTGTACCAGAATATCTCACCCCCAATGAAGTCAAATAATTGCAACTATTCTATGCTAAAATCCTCCCTAGCATTTTTACAAATCAAATCAACTCCAGAACTAAGTCTTTTCTGTAGCCCTTCAAAAGCTCAGAGTCAGAGAGAAGCCATGGAAGCACATATAAATGGTGATGAAATTAGGCATAAGAAATATTTTTAAATATTTTACATGTTCCAGTGTGATGCTACCTCTAGGAATCATTTCCTTCATGTTTCTCACTCAGCTGAACCAAAGAATTCAGCTGTCACTAATTTGTTTAAAGAAGGAGGCACACATGCAGCCAACAATCAAAGTGTCCTATTTTAAACATGAAAAAATTCAGTAAAATAAGAGTCTAATATAATTCAACTAAAGATTTATAAGCTTCAAGTCAAGAACCTGACAGGCATTTAATTAGATTTGTAACCTGAAAATAGGAGCCTAAATAATCTGTCATAGGCACACACCCTCTGCAAATACCAAAGGGAAGAGTACTTGGTAAGTTGTCCATTTTACCTAAGTCAGTTATGAGAAGTGGCTCTAGCCAAGGCACATCTGGGACTGGAATTCGTCTTCCGAAAAGGAACCTTCATGGGTTTGCGCTGGAGCCTCATCTTCCATAATTCTGTGTGTTTAAAGTGGAACGCACGGTGAGTATTCCAATGCCTTGAGGTTCAAATTCTTTTGTCACAGTGCAGAAAAGCAAAAGGTCTAACTCCTGGGGGTGGGGGAATGTGCACCGCCAGGCGAAAACCCCTTCCTGTATCCCTGGCCCTGGTGCACACACTGTCACACCCCATTCTGCTCTCAGGTGGAGCCAGGCAGAGATGGTGAGTTCTTTATCACTTTTTTCTGGTTTTTTATCCAGTTCCTTGTGTATCTTGCCCTTTGTACTGCCCTGCATCTGGAGGGTCAGCTTGCTCATGGAAACTGCAGGCCTCTGGAGCAGTCACCATGGGGATCTTGGTGTGGCTGCAGCTGCTGGGACCTGGTGCATGTGGAGTTGACGACAGTTCACTGTTTTCTAGGGCTTGTTGTAAAATGTCCTTGTTATGCCCTCATAACACTTAGTTGCTTCTCAAGCTCTGGGGACTGGTCACCCCACAGACCCTGGCTCTGAGAGTTCCAGGAGTTGCTGGGTAACATTGGCCACTGCCCAAGACTTCTGCTGACTTGAGGCTGAGGGCCTGGTCTGCCTGCTGGAGAGGTAAGGTCTGCAAAGCACCACTGTTCATGGTGCAGTCTATAGAACTTGCAGGATTGGTGATGGGGGTGGTATTCATCTCCCTAACATGAGTGCTTAAGCTACCTAAACTTTTAAGATATACATCTACATTCTGTACAGTCATGTTAAGGTTAAATGGGTCAAAAATAGTTCAGGTTCTTGAGCAGGACAAGGAAAGAATTGCCGAGCATACATTTCATAGTAAGTAGCTACATTTATTGAACATGACTGGTTGGTAGCAGCAGGGACAGGCAGAAGGGCAAATGGGAAAAGGAAGAGGAAGGAGAACCCTTCATAACTCAGGCTTGCAATATTTAAAGGTCAGATGCCTCTGAGTCCAGGTGTCTCTCTGGTGTCTCGCTGGTGCTGTGATCTGCCGCCCGGAACATTGTACCTCCTAAGCTTAAACATGGGTAATCCTTAGGGTGGTGCTGTGTTTGTAGTTGAATGAAGGGAAGGGAGGACTCCCTCAACTTCCTTGTTTCTAACTGTACTAGTTATAGATAGGACCATTCTTGACCTTTGAGTAAACTCTCTGTACTTGGAAATGAAGATTCCCCCTCTGAGAAAAGGTGACAGGACAATAGGCACAGGACTGGTGTGGTGTGCTTAATCATGTGAGTTTGCAATGCCGCCTCCTGGTTAAAGGCTTTTCCACAACCACTTTAGTTGAGGGGCCTTTCAGCGGTCTGTATCTTTCTGTCCAGTTACCTGGCTTGGCTGTTGAAGCCTTTCCACAGAGTGGACACGAATATGCACAAGCTCTTCTGCCAGTGTTCCAATGATAAGCCCTCCATACCCTAACTTTAGGGTGGGTCTCCATATGCTCTTCAGCTCCGAGGTTTGTGCTCGCTGCTCCTGGTCTCACAGGTAGGACACGACTGTCGGCCACCCCTGCACGTGTGTGGCCCCGAGCGCTGCAGCGGGAACTTGTGTTTTCCCTTCCATGGGGCATCATGTGCGCTTCGAGACCAGTCACTCTGGACAACTTGCTGCGCACAGGGCCGCTCCGATCTTCCACGCCGCAGAATGAATTGAACATTAGATGTTTGGGAGCCTTGATCATTTAGAGACGGCTTGTCATTTAGCTCACGTGGTTGCAACTGGGACTCTTTAGGAAAAGAGAGCAGGTGGATTTCATTCACCATATGCAAGTTTGGAAATGCACGGTCACAATCAGTGTTCTCTGCATCCAGTGTGAAAACTCCGTAGGAGTTGCTGGCGCCGAGTGGGTCCAAGCCGCAGCGCATCGAAGTCAAGGCAGCAGAACACCCCCCTCCCCCACCACCGCCACCGCCACCGCCACCGCCTCGAGACCCCTCCCAGTGGCGAGCATGCAAGGCACCGGGTTGGGAGGGCCGAGCAGCTAGGACCTTCCAGGATCTTTGGGCGACTCTACCGGCTTCATCGGGTTCCTTGTCACGCCCGCCACTGCAGGGCCTCTGGATTTCTTCAAACAAGATTTTGTAGGCGGTTTTATTGTTTGCTAAGAAGCATGATTAAAAATTGGGGCGTAACCGTGCTTGCGCAGCTCCCGAAGATGCAGAGCTGATAGGATTCCTTAGATCAAGTAGATGCACTGACCGACCCGGACACTGCAATTTACAGGACAATAAAGCAGCACTTTGGCCTTACCTAGGTGGTGAGAAAAGTTCCTAGAATAATCACTTTCAAGGTCGAATTTTTCTTTCTTCTCTGCATTTTCTGGCTGTTTGCTCAATAGGCAGGGGCGCTTCCTTTGGCTTCCAGAAGTGTCCGGCCTCTTCATTTGGCAAATAAAATGTTTCTCCAACTAGGTGTTTGTATTTTAAAAGGAAAGGCCCTGTGTGGATAGAGCATGCGCAGAGAGGAACCGCCCCACAGCCCATCTAGGGACCATCTGTGGAAGGCAGCAAAGGAGTCAGCCTGTGCCACACAGTCTTGCTGCCCCTTTTGAATTAGCCCCGGGGACTAACCCCGAGGGAAGGCGCTGGAATGGAAGGGAACTTTCAGCTCTTCATGGAGGTGGAAGGGCTGGACACAGTTATACATCTATCACTTTTGGCAAAATCTTCCAATTTAGATGAATTACTGCCAAGGGACAATCAGTTTTTAAAGATAACAATAATAATGTGAAATAGAAAAGACAAAAGAAGTCAAGCGGGGTATAATCAAAAAAAGAATAAGCGAGTTCGATCCCTGGTACCAAACAAAAACAAAAACAAAAAAAGAATATTCTCAATAATAATGAATTATGAGCTGGAAGCTTACAGACTCCTACCAGCAAACTTGCAAAGTAGGAATTTATCTGCATTTGACACATGGGAAACTGCAGCTCAGAAAAATTAAGTGTCTCGGTTAAGGTCAGCGAGTCAATTAACAGCAATAATGAAAACAGTCAAATATTGAGTTCTTTACTCCAAGCTAAGTAATTTTAAGTAATTTTACTTGTAATTACTTATAAGTAGAGCTGTCCCTCGGTATCTGCAGGCGATGGGTTCCAGGACCTCCTCGATACCAAATTCTGCAGATGCTCAAATTGCTTACATAACATGGCATAGTATTTGCATATGATCTATGCAGTCTGCCTTTACTTTAAGGCATCTCTAGATTGCTTATAGTTCCTAATATAATGGAAATGCTACATAGTTATTGCACTGTATTGTTCAGGGAATAACAAGAAGGATGTACTGCACACGTTTGGCACAAAAGTAAAATGTGTTTTTTTGTTTTGTTTTGTTTTTTGTTTGTTTTTTTTTGCAAATTCTATGTAGCCAGGCTGGCCTGGAACTCTCAGCAACCATCTTGCCTCAACCTCCCGACTGCTGGGGTTATGGGCATGTGTACCCACCACAAAAAAATTATTTTCTATTATTTTCTGTGTCATACAGCAATCAGCACTGGCACATAACCCACTTGCTTGGAAGGAAGAAGTGAGGAACTGTAAATACACTGTACCTCAGCTCACCTTTTGCACCACAGATACTCTACTCGTACCCTGAAGACATTCTAAAAGTTTCAGTCACTCAAAACAGCAACCTTGGGGATCTCAATCTTGTTATCTCTACCAAATCCAAGCAACTCCTCTTAATTTGAACAGGAGAGGGAAACAGGACTCCCAGGATTATAGCAGCTCTGAAATTCTACTAGGCAAACATGAAGGTGTTGGGGATAGGAAAACTGTTTTGAATAAGAGATTTTTTTAAGGGGTCTACAACCTGAAATTAGCTTCTCTGAGAATCTTCTCTGGAGGTTACTGACTCCAGTCTCTTTTTTCCCTTTTCTCTACCTTCATTGGACAAATCTGAAAAGAGAATTTTAAGATATACCCTTCTTGGGCTACACAAATTTTTCAGTTTGCTTCTTACAGAAAGTTGGGAGTCCACTGATATTTTAAGTTATAAAAGAGGCAGACAGGCTTCTGTTTCAGGCTGGAAATATCTATATTAGAATTGCTTTTAAACTTTAAAGTTTTCTTTCTTTTCCTTTTTTTATTAATATTTATTTGTTCTGTCCTATTCTGTGTACTAATAGCTTCTTCTTTTACAAATCTTTAAGCTCTCTAAACTTAGTAAGTGTTTGAGCTTATCAGCCTTCATGAAATCCTTCCTTTGATTTATTTTTCTTGCCATTTTGTGTTACTGAAATGATTTACTGAGAGACACATTAATTCAATCAAATGCTTTTGTGCACTGGGCATTAATTTGGATTTTGTCCTTAATTGAGTCTTAATCTTGGTCTTAATTAGACCCACAAAACTCTGTGGCTCAAAATCTTAACCAGTGAGAGAGGGAGTTTGGTTTTCCAGCCCCACAAGTCCTGTGGTTCCTCAGCACTTCAGTTTGGCTAGAACTCCTATGTTAGACAAGTCACTTACTTCTCATTCTCTTCCTTACCAGATGCTGTTTCGAACAACCATTCTGCAATAATAACATTTCAGATCCTTTCTACAGGAAGCCATAAGTATAGTATACCCATGTTTGCCTTCCAAGTAACCTCAGGTAAGTTTTACTCAAGTCTTGCTCCTAATTTTCCAGCCTCCAATAAGATTCCTCACTGATAGCTCTCTTTACCCTGAAATCAGTGCCATGTATTTTAAGTGTTTTATTATGATAATACTCCACTTCTAAGAATCATATTATGAACTATTCAGCTTTGCCACGTCACAACCATGTAATTTCATGGGTTTGTAAAAAGAAGTATTTCAATCGTGTCCATGTTTCATACAGCAGTTAATGGATGGATGCAGCTCCAGTGACTCTGACTCACACCTGCCGGTCTTTTTTATTCTACTACTCAGGTTGAGGTTGCAGGCCTCATACGGAGGGAACCCATTTGGGGGTCTGAGAAGAAAAAAAAAGCCTCTGGTTGAATGCAGCATAATCATATCTGTTCACATTCTCATAGCCAGAGAAAATGACCTGGTTAAATCCAAAATTGAAAGGAGAAATATATTCACTCTACAACAAGAAGCAGGTAAAGGCTATAGCAGTGGGTTTGGAGGTATAAACCACTTATAAGAAAGAGGAGTTAGGTACAATTGTGAACAGTAATAGAGCCTACAAGATGTACAGGTTTTAGGAAACAAACATCACTAATAAAAACAATAAAAAATAAGACTGTATGCTCACTTTCCCAGAAAAGTATCTAACTTATTGAGCTTAAAAAACAAGTGTCTGAGACAGGTACAATGCTGCATTCCTGTAATCCTATCTAGTTGAAAGGCTGCTACAGAATTGCAAATTTGAGACTAGCCTGGGCAAGTTGGTCAGACCATGTTTCAAAATAAAAATTAAAATAAAAAGGGCTGGGGATGTAGCTCAGCCGATACAACTCCCATGGGTCTGATCCCTAGTGCTGAAAAAACACAACAAACAAACAAAAAACACTTGTGACTTACAAAATAGCATTGGATCTTGTTTTGAGCTGCTATCATTAGTTGGTAGTGCTGTTTTTCTGCATAAGAAAAAACTCTTATTCCCCTGTCTCAATCAGGCCAGCTCAGAGCAGCTGTAATTGTAATTACCCTTATTTACAAAGATCTCTGGCACACACCTGGAAGACTAGGGCCACCCAGCAGGAAAGAGAAAGAAAGTCAGGGACCAGATCTTTGTCATTCCTGTGCATAAGAGCACTGCAAAAAGACAAGCTGAGACCTCTGAGACCAGCCACTGACTAGAATATAACACACATTCATTCTCTACCTGTTTGCTATTGAATTATCTAACATTACCAGTGCACTGGGATGGAATCTTCAAGTGGTCTCCATCATAAAACACCAGCCAGCTCTATTTTGAGTAGATAAGCGGTATAGTTCCATATGTGGTCCTCACTCAATATCCTTTCCCTCTCCCAATCCTTTACTCACAAACCAAATTACATGATGATATTTACTTTTCAAATAACTCAAGATGGAATTAATTTTACACTTTGAAAAGATGTTTGATTTTAAAAGAGAAAGTGTTTTGCTAGAAGATTTTTTAAATGACAAATCACTTCTTTCCTTCCCAATTTCATAATTCTGTCCTGTTAACTTGCTGTCTCAAGGACACTGTGCATGAGGTTCTTCTTCCTGAAACATTCTCTCCCATACTGCATAGCTCTTTGTATCATTAATGCCTCACTGTGATCTTAAATCCTAGGAAGTATTCATGACCTTCTAACTTCCCTAATGACCTCCGATAGAGTCTTTTATAAAAACATGTACTATACTTCTTCATTACACTGATGATATTTGATAAATTAAAATTACTCCTTTAAATGCCTAACAATTATCTTGCCAATTAGAATTTTGACTCTGTGAGGACAAGGTCTTCATGACTACATATCCAATGCTCACACTACTACATATCGTATGAGTATCATAAATATTTGTTGATTATGTGACTACATGATTGAATAAATAAATGAGAATTTGAGTTGCTCATTATATAATTTCTTTTTTTAAAGACAGCAGCAACTTTCTGTTTAGTCTTTTGAAGTAGTAAAGAAGACAGAAGAGCTCCTAAATGCTTTCTTAATTCCCTTTTGAATGTGTGGAGTGACTTTTGGTGTTCTCTTCCTGTTCATCTGTCATTTAGTTATCCCCTAGTCCTGAAGCCTTTCATACTTTATGACCACCCACGACCAAATAAGCCCTTAGAAATTCCTCCAGTTCTGTGATGTTAAGCAATGTTTCTTGTTTTGGTATGAGTATGTGTGTACATACACATGTGTATGACTGAGGAACCATGTCCTGCATAAATTAGGACCTGGTTATGTAAAAGAAACAGAAGAGTTTTTAAAAAATCATTATCTAGGAAGTAATAAAAATAATGTCATTCCCTAATGACCTCATTCACAGTGGAATTCTGAAGTGGATTTTGACAATGAAAGCCTTACTGGGAGCACTTCCAAAGCCATCTGGTGGGGAGAGAGTCAGTATTTTTAAACGGTCATTCAGTTTCCGAATGTAATGGGCCAGGATTAGATGTTCAATCAGTAGAAAAGTAAACATGAAAGACAGCAACATAAATGATTGCTACAGGCCCCAAAAAGAGAAATATTTTAGTTTGTAAATTGGTTATCAAGGTTTTCGTAAATTAATAACATAAACACACATGCTTCAGGAAATGTTCCTGCAGGAATTTAAAATATGTCAAAGATTTAAAATATAAGTAAAACAGTCATTAAAATTTTAAAAATAAAATAGTGAAGAAGAAAATAAAATGTTTTCTGAAAGAAAGGAAGAGCTAGAATAAGTGGAAAGGAAATGTTTTGTAATAAAAAGTTGGAATTCTGGGCTGGGGATTTAGCTCACTGGTTCCACTACCTGCCTCGCAAGCACAAGGATCTGAGTTTGATCCCCAGTACCAAAAAAAAAATTTTTATATTTTTACAGAATTCTTATATTCTCATAAGAATTCTTATATTTTTACAGAATCCATTTTGACATGGTCTCAACAAAATTGCTCTATGAAACGTTCCTCATTCAAAATCATTTTAGCAAAACAAGCACATCATAGTGCTCTGACAGGCTCACTGTGGAGCCACTGCACATCCTCACAAATTAACGGCAAATGTCTCCAAGCCATCCTTGCCCACTTTTATTTGTGTGCATGGATGACCACTCTATTTTCTAATGGATTCCACTTTTCTCCTTGGTATTTACTTTTGTTCTCATACCTAGTACTATGAAGTAAATTCTGTCCCTCAAAAGTTTATATGTTGAAGTTCTACACCCTTATGTGACTGGAGACAAGTTCTTTGAGGAGGTCACTTGAGGTAATATAAAATCATTAGACTGGCATGTTGACCAAATATAACTAATACATTAATATCAAGCAAAGAGACACCAGAGACTTCTCTCTTTCCACCTATAAAAGCATAGCAAGAAAATGCCATTTGCAGGCCAAGAAAGGAGCCCTCACCAGGACACTGACCCTATGGGACCTTGATCAGGATTTCTAGCCTCCATAACAGTGAGAAAATAAATTACTGTTGTTTAAGTCACTCAGTCAGTGGTATTTTGTTATGGCAGCCAGTGCAACCAAGACACCTAGCTACTTTAACAAACTTCACTTTGACTCTGGAACAAGGACTCTAGAATATTGCTTATACTTATGATGCCTGTTAGCCACTCCTATAGATCAATCCCAAACTGTTTCCTGTTGCTTGAAATGTGAACTACATCACATCCTACATGCTCCTTTTTGCCTATGCATAGCCCCAGAATTCATTTCTAAAATCATGTTTCAGTAATTTTCTCAGGTTTTTTTCCATGCTTAAAATAAAGACACCTGGACCGGGGATTTATCTCAGTGGTTTCGCAACCTGCTGCGCAAGCGCAAGGACCCGAGTTCAATCCCTGGTACAAAAAAAAAGGATAAAGACACCTGGACAATGTGAACATCCCAGTGTCTTCTTCATAATGTTAACAGAAATGCTAATGTAGTTTGTATCTTATAGACAGACACAGGAGTTGAAATACTATTATCCATCTTTGGTGTTCCACTGGTCGGCTGCCATTACACAGAAATATCAAAGTGCTCAGAGCCAGTGAAGACACTGAAAATTAGCCTTCCAGTATAAAGTGACCCACATTGAAAGGAACTTGAAATACCAGAAAGCATAGACCATAGACTCCAGTAAGAGCAAGAGCTATTTCTGCGTGCACCAATACAGAGTTTACATGAAAAAATACCTAGGATTTATAAAAGATATTGAAAAAGAACAGTCTAAAAACAATGGGTGAAATTAAAACTTTAGGCTATAGTTTCTTACCTAAACAAGATAAGTCTCTACTTAAAAATGACTAGCGGAGTTTCATAACGTGAGGCATTCTGGGACTGTCAGAACCACATGCAAACCTGAGAACTCCCATTCATAACCACAGAAATTAATATGCCACATAATCTACCATCCTAGACACAGTGCAGGGATCTAGAGGGAATCCACTTCCCTTGTGTTTTGAGACTTAAGTTCAGGACAAGGCAATCAAGTATCTAAGAAAATAAGTTGTGTTTCCTCATAGCAATCACAAGCTGCTTTTTTACACAGACAATTTGGATTTGGTGAGTCACCAGTTTTACTGTAATAGAATTTTCATCTTGTCAACGATTGATTTCACTGTGATGGCTGCTGAAGCCAGGTATTACACATTCAATTACACACAAATACATACTCTGCACATTGGATTTCTAGGTAAGAGTCAAGTACCTTATTTCTCAACTAGAACTGAGAGGGGGGTGCTTTTCATCCCAGTGTAGAAGTGAGGGGAGGTTAATAAAATGAAAGCTCTAAGGTCATTGTGGAGCTGAGATAATTGAGCTCATCCAGCAGAATCCTGTATGTGCTCTCTTCTAGACATTTAAATATCTAAGAAGTATTCAATTTGGTATCTACATCCTACTGTATCCATATTCTGAAAAATATGAGTCAAGACTTTTCAGGCATAAATTTTACCATAGCTGTAGGCATCTTCCAGTATTTTGAATCTAATTAAATCTCTACTTCATATATCTCTTTAGTAAATATTACCATTAATTATATCAACCTGTATTTCTTCCATGACAACTTTACTATTATATCTGAACAAATATGGAAGAATAAATACAAACTATTGTCACTTTGTAACAGATTACTTTATGAAGTTGTCTGTATAGCAAAAAGATAGCCTAAAAATAAACACAATATTTTATTAATGTGATGTATATATTTGATATTATGAAGAGTCTTCCAATTTATAGGTACAGAGTTGTACTTTTCAGGCTCCTAGTCAGTGTGTCAAATTTTAACTGCAGTATTTACAAGAATATATTAAGTTGATTTTTCCATTTTAAAAGCCAACTAAAAATGAAATGACATTTATA